TTAAAATTTAATTAATTTTGCATACATTTTCTGCAGCAAAAAAAAAAAACATTCACTTGCAGTGGCAAAAAAAATTTTTCTTTTTTTCACTATTTCTAAAAATTATATTCCATACATTCCATTTTATAAATTATTTATAAATTGATGAAAATTTTCATTGTTTGACTTAATGAAAAGATTTTTCCCACTTTTATTTATGTCTTCATTATTAATTGTAAAATTTGAAATATTTGAATTTATTATTTAAGTGCAAATGATAGAAATATCCATTTAGATGCTTGGGTAATTGACAACATTTTAAAAGTCCTTGAAAAAGGTAGAAGAAAAGAAGGTGTAAGAGAGATAAGTGCCTGTTCAACAATTAAATACATTTGTTGAACAAACTACAAATTCCATTTTCGAGGGAACATTTATTGAAAATTTATTATTACTTACTAGTTTTGTTGCTATTTTGATAATATTTTTATTAATTTATTATTTGTCATTGTTTTGTTACTAAAAATTACTATTATTATTGTTATAATTAATTATTACTCTCACTGTTGCATTATCATTTATGAATGATAAAGGGAAAATGAATATTTTAATGTTTTTTTTTTCTTACTAATTTTATAAATAATATTTTCAGCGTAAAATATTAATGTATGAAATTGATAAATTGTAAATGTTTTAAAATTTTTTTCTAAAATTTTGCCATATTTGTTCACTAAAACTTTATCATTAATATTATATTTAATAATTAAATAATAATTCTTGCCATTAATAATATATTGTAAAATAAATTATGAGAAATTGTTAATTATATTAATTATTCGAGTAATCAATTATGCAATTATGCTACATTTTTATGCTTAGTTAAAGAAATGAAAAAAAGAAACAAGAAACAAGCAAAAATTGATTTGTTTAGCGTATAATAAATAACATTTAATCTAAATACTTATTAATTAATCTATTGGAAGAAATTTTGAAGTTAATTTTAATAAAATTAAAATTGCAAATGTAACTTTAGATAATTCTAAAATTTGTTTACCACTTTAGTATGAATTCATTTCAAATTCTATCCTAAAAAGTTTAAAAATAAAATAATTCATTCAAATCATTTCATTGCTAATTTGTTTTTTAAATCTTTTCTAATTTTAGGCGCATTTGATTACTTTTGAAATTATTCTCTTCCTTTGAAATTATTTTTTGAAATTATTTTTTCCAATCTTTCATTTTTAGTAATACTTGCTGTCAATATTTTAAATTTTTTTTCTCTTTTTATTTGAAAAATATTATAATTTTCAAATAGTTAAAAAATAAATGAGCATAAAATTATAATATATTCAGCAATGTTTTTTTTTTTGAATTTAATTATGAATGAAATTAAAAGTTTTAAAATTTCTTAAATCATTATTTAAAATGATAATTGGGTAAGAAATAAAGTAAGTGAAAAGCTTTAAGATAATTAAAGTATCATTATTAGATTAAATTAATGAGGTCATTTTAAACTAACCACTTTTGATGTATTTATATTTGTCAACTATTTGGCATCAATTTTTCAATGCAATTTAATTTTGTTTTAAAATATTTCGTTTAATGTTTTTTCTCTTTTTTTTCAAATATAATCAGATAATGGGAAGAAGAAAAAAATATATGTATGGAACAGATTACAATGAAATTTAAACGAACAAAAAAAAGTGGTATAAGTGAAAGAGAAATTAAATTTGGCATCAAAATAATATTAAAATTATTGTTTTTTTTCTTTTTTTATTTCTTATGAAATTGAATTTTTATTATTTCAAATTAAAAGATTTAAGAAAAAAACCTTTTTTTTGTTAAAAAAAAAATTCGTGTAAAAATTAGCTCTCTTTAATAATTTAACAAAATGAAATTATAATTAAAATACAATCATTTTTTTTTAAAATGATTTCATTGATTATCTTTATGAAAAAAAAAAAACGAATTTTAATTGTTATCATAATAAAGTTAATAAGTATTTGTATTATAAGACCATTATTTATAAGTCAATGATAATTTGCAAGTATTTATCGCACTGAAAATTTAAATAATATTTTATAGCAATAAAATTAATATTAAAAAAATTGAAAAATTCACTGTCAATATTATTGTGCTAATTTAAAATTTATTTAAATTATAAGTTAAATTGATAATTTAAAAATAAATTGTTGTAACTGATAACAATAATATGTAAAATTTATTATCATCGCATATTAAGAAGCGAAACAGTTTCATTTTCTTTCTTATTTTTTACAATATTTTTAGTTCAAAAAAAAAAAAAAAACACTTTGCTTTTTTTGTTTTCAAATAATTTTTTGAAATGTTTACTTTTCCAATACCTTTTTGTTTACTATTCATTCACTCATCTTTTCCAAATATTACAGCATTTTATTTTCTGTTTTTTTTTTTCATTTATTAATAAAAAATTTTTATTAGCAAATTTCCATTTATTAGTAAAAAAAAATAATTTTTTTTTTGTCCATTTTAAATAAATAATTCATTCATATTCAATTTCATAAAATTTGTTTTTTTTCTTTCTCTCTCTAAATTGCAAATATAATTTTATTTGTTTATTTTATTTTATTTTATTTTTCTTTTCATTTGTTTAAAAAGGGAAAACTTATGATAATTGTGTCTTAATACAATTAAAACTAATTTAATCATAATATTTGTTTATTATTACACATAAATGAATAACATTTTGCTATTTGTTTATTAATTTTTTTTATTTATATTGCTTATTGTTTAATTGCTGTATTGTTATTGTTATGGTATTATTTGTTATTTGTTATTATATGACTTTATGCTATTGTTATTGTTGTAGATATACAACAAATATAAGCGTATATTTTTGCATTTTCATTTGACACATAATGAAATAATATCTACTAATTATAATTAAAAGTAAAAAAAAATTTTTTTTAAAATTTTTCTTCTCCAAAAAATAAAGAATTAATTGCTAAGGCATAAAAACTTTATTCAACAAAATTTCAAAGAGCTAAATTAGGTTATTTTATATTTGTAAGTAGATTTAAATACAAATTTCAATTGCATATCAATGAAATAGACGGCCATTTGCAAAATTTATCAATAATAATAGTAATACTTTCTTCCCTCTCTCTCTCTCTTCCTCTTTCTCTCTCTCTTTCTCTCTTTCTTTTTCCTTTTTTTTGTTATTTATTGTTTACATTTTATTATTTATCATTTTTATTCCTCATTTATACATTTAATTTTGCTTATTTTATAAAATTTATTAACAATTCATAATAACAATCATTCATAAATCGTATAATTTCCGTTATAAAATCATTTAAAATTTTTTTATTTGTTAATAATAAATATTTTGTTTTTTGATATTATTTTTTTTCGAATTTTAGTTTTGAATAATATTAATAAATTTGTTGTGAATTTTATTAAATGTTTAAAATTAAAAACTTTCATTTACTGAAATTAATCTTATTATTATTTACGCTTTTTTTTTAACTCAATTACTCATTTAATTAATTTTACTTCTTTTGAATCTTTCAGTTTTTAGCATTCTTTTCTAATGATTATCAATATTTCTTATCAGTAAATATTTATTGATAAAAATTATTCTTCTCAATAAATCTTATTTATGTGATTACCATTATTTTTTTTTCTGATTGCTATCACTTTTGATATTTTTCATTTAATTATATCATAATTTAAATACATAAATCTATCATTAAATATTATTTGTTCATAAAAAAAATAAATTTCAGAATTTCAATTTTGGAATTTTGATAATTAATTAGAAGAAATAATTGTATGAATGATTAATTTCACACTTTTCTGTCATCATTTGATCAAATCATTTCAATTATGTTCGTAAAAAGAATCGAATTTACATAATTTAGTTTTATTGCTGTCAAGAAATAATTCGAAATTTGAAAAATTTAATATTTTACTTTCTTAGAGTAATATTTTTTCATCGATTGCATAATTTTTTGTAAATTTATAAAAAACTAAAAATTTTCTATCCTTTTTTTTTGCAGCAATTGTTTTAAACCGTTTAAAATTTAATAACGAAACTTTTCTGTTTATTTAAAAATTTGAATAAATTTTTTAACAATAAAAATTATTTTATTAATTTTACTTATTTGAATTTTAATTAAAATATAATTTTTTGACTGTCATGAATTTACGACAAAAAGTATATCATTTATAATATCGATTACTTGTCGCATTCATTTTTCTTTTTTTCCAAAAAAAAAAAAAAATTTATTTCCTTGTACTTTTTTAAATTTATAATTTTATTGTTAACATCAAAAATTTCTCATAAAATAATAGATGGAAATTCTGTTGCTTAAAATTAATCTTAAAATTAATTTTCTTCTAATGATTAATTCTGCATTTGAAATCTATCAATTGTAATAATTTCATTTCATACTTTTCTAAATTTAATTTGAATGCAATTTATGAAAAATAAGGTAACTGATTAGAAATTATATTATTCTTTTACTGTCTTTTTAATCTCCTATGCAATATCAAATTTTAATTTCCTCCTTCAACATATTTATAAAATTTTACAATTAAAATAGACAAAAATTTAAAAAAAAAGTATTTTAATCTTTTGATTGATATCTAATTAGCATTTAATTAATTATAAATATCATAAAAACGGGCAAAATAAGGGAAGAAATTGCCCACTAAAACAATTATTTTCCATTTAATAAAGGAATCTTTTTATTTACAAGAAAAAAAAGAACAAAATAATAAAAAGATAAAAATTGTTGAAATTTTAATACTATCAATTTAAAATTGCAAATCGCATAAAAATGAATTTATTAAATTTTTTTTTTTTTGTTTTTTTAAAATTATTTATATTTCCATAATTTTTTCTCTTTTTCTATTGTGTTTGATGTTTTATTCACTTTAAAAATATTTCAAATAAAGTTTTATTTTTTTTTCATTTTGAAAAAAAATTGAATTTTTGTTTTTTTCTCTTTTTTTAAAAAAAAATTAAACTTTTATTGAAGATGCTTACAAGTGATGCTGGAAAATTTTATTTAAAAGTGGAAAAAGGCCGAAAGCCACGTGTGCAACTATTTGAAGAATTACGTAATGCACAGGTATTCATTTAATTTTCTTTTTTTTTTTTTTTTTATTCAAACAAATTTTTTGTATTAAATTAAAAATTTAATTATTTTTTAAATTTAAATTTTAGATAACAATACCATATGATCAAACAACTAAATGGCCACCAATACGTGTACAAATGAGTGGTGGTATAACAATTATTGTTCAACGTTTAGAGCAACAATATAAAATTACTGTTCAACATATAGTAAATTTAAAATTAATTTAAATTTTGTTAATTCTATTTTGAAAACAAAAAAATTTTTTTTGGTTCCCAAAAAAAGTAATTTTTCTTCTCTTTTTTTTTTTTTTTTTTTTTGTAGATGGAACGTAAACCAGATATATGTGTTTATGTTAATTCTCTAATACATGAACGTGATATACGAACGTGTGTACGTGATATAAATACGCAGCTAAATCACGTAGGTGTAGCGGGTCCTAATCTTGAGGTATGTGAAATTTAAACAAATAAGCAATTTAAAAAAAAAAGGACGAAAGTAATTTAAGAAAAAAAAAAGTGAACAAATCAGATAGTTAAATATATTATAAAAATTAATTTAACATAGCTATTTGCTAGGAAAATTTACAATATATTTAAAGATAATTTTGTTTTTTAAAAAAAAAATAAAATTTCAAAAATTAGCTGAAAATATTATACATTTAAGACATTTTTTAATTTTAAAAGTTATCAATTCAATTTAATTTTATTACATAAGTAAATTAATGGATGATTTTTTTTTCAAGACATTTTAGCTTTCAAAAATTAAAAAAACGAAAGTTTTAAATTTCAAAAAAGAAAAACATTAAAATTTTTTATTTATTTTTTCATCTTAATTATTAGATAATTACCAAAAATAGAAATAGAAATTACGCTAATTATTTATAGCACTTTTTCAATTAATTAATATGAATATGATAATCGTTATATTAAACTTAACTTTCAGATATTGTTAACAGAAACAAATTTAACTGAGATTGTAGATAAGATATAAAAATTGAATTTGAATTTTTGAAACCTTAAATTTCATAAATTCAAATTCAGTGATATTCTTTAAAAAAATGAAAAAAGTTAACAAATTGAATTATTGCAAGTTGCAGATTATAAAATTACATTTATTTTGTGAATTATTGCTATAATTTTGAACTAAGAATAATTAATTCTAAATTTATTAACTTTTTTTTTAAAAAATGCTATTAAATTTAAATTTTTGATTTTTTTTTTAACCCATTTCTCTAATAACAGCTTACATTTATTACTTATAATTAGCATCTAAAAGTAATTCCTATCTATAAGTAATTCTTTCAGGTAACCGGTCGTATTAAAGCTATCAAAGTAACATTTGAATCAACAGTTGGTGCATTACATACCAATTCAAAATTATCTGCTCGAAGTATTATCCTTAAAGCTCAACATATTTTTATTAAACCGGAAGCTTTGTTTACATGTTCAAAATTACGGGTTTGTTTATACTATTTAAATTTAATTTTACTCACTTGTTTACTTATTTACTTATTTATCTACCCAATGTTTTCATCAAAGTATGAAAATACTATTTATATTGTTCAAAATTACAATATTTTATTTATGCTAAATTGACATATTCATTGATGTATTTTCAATTATTTCATCTTTCTCAATCATTTTTATCTTTTTTTTTTTAAAATTTGTTTTAAAATTATGATACATTTTAGCGATAGCACCTAATATTTATTTATACAAAATTTTATAAATTAAAAATATTTAATTTTAAAAATAAAAATAGCAGAAAAAAAAGGAGGAAAATTTTCTAATCATTAATTTGTAGAAAATATTAATAAAACACTATTAATCATTTATCATATTTATCATTATCAGATGATATCACGGCGTGTTCAAATTGATGGACGAATTTGTTGCTCTGATCAAATGCCATCAAAAATGTCTGTTTTTATTGATTCTGCTTTATTACATATTGGCATTGATGGCACAATTGGTACGACACGGTCATCTACTGATAAAACTGTGATTTTGTATTTATATTTTAAATTAATTATCAGTAAATTAAAATTAATTAAATAATAGTGGTAGTTTAATAAAAAAACGAAAAAAAGATTAGTAAAGTAAAGAATAATATAAAAATTAATTTAATATTTTAATAAAATATTTATTAAAAATAATTCATCAATTATAATGCTATTAGCTAAAATATATAATAAAGAAAGCGAATAAATTTATAGCATAAAAAAAAGAAAAGAAAAATAAATATTTAATAAAAGTGATTAATTAATTAATTAAAATAATAAGAAATGAAAAGAAATTATCAACTATAATTAATAAAATTTACACTAATTTAATTAATTAGTCAACACACTTTTTTATTTGCTGCACATTTTTTTTTTTTTTTAAATGAAAAGATCTTTTTTTTAAATTTTAGATGGATTTTTTTTTAGATGAAAAATTTATTCGATGACAAATATGCAAATAATAAATTATTGTTATGAATAGATGAGTAAAATATTTTAATTAACCAACATAAAACAAATTAATTGTGAGAAAATTTAATTAAGTAAGGAATCAAAAAAAAGAAAAAGGTAAAAGCAATAACTTTATTTTTTAATTTCAGATGTCTAGGATACCGGAAAATGTTGTAAATGTGCTTCATTTCCGTTTAACCGGTTGTTTGGCTAATTTTGGATCAATTGTTTCGCAAAATGAAATGGAATTTCATATTGATGGAAGTATTTTATCATTACAGGATAGTCGGATTGATAGTGCTTCCAGAGGGTTTCTTTTTTTCTCTTTCTGTTTTTGTTTGGAATTTAAAATTTTAAACTATTTTAACAGTTAGCAATCAAATAACTAAATTGTTCAAATGTTCCTTTCTTTTTGAACAAATAATATAATTATAAATAAATTGTTAATTACTCTTTCATTATTTGAAATTAGTTGAACTTATTACTTGAATAAATTAAATATTATAATTGTCATTTGAGTAAATCATAATAATTTCATCTTTTTTTTTTCTTCACTATTTTTATTTAATTTTTAATTTTTTTCTTCTTATTTATTTTAATTAATTTACATACAGGTATACAGCCTTAAAACAAATCAAAGGTATTAGCAGTGAAACATCTGATTCATTACCAACCAGTAGCACTCTTAGTTCAGCAATTTTGTTTGAAAAACCGGATACTGTTGCTCAATTACTGGAAGATGGTGTTGATTTAAATGATTCTATTAAGGTTTCACTATTTAAAAAAAAAAATCTTTTTTAAAATAATTAAATTAGTTAATTAGATAAACTAATTAAATAACCATATAAATGTTCTTTTTTTTATTGTTAAATTTTTGATGTTACCTTATTTTTCATAAATTCCAATCAAATTAAATTTAGAAAAGTATGAAATGAAATTATTACAATTGATAGATTTCAAATGCAGAATTAATCATTAGAAGAAAATTAATTTTATGATTAATTTTAAGCAATAAAATTTCTATCTATGCACTAAATTACTTTATGAGAAATTTTTGATGTTAACAATAAAAAAAAAAGAACATTTATATGGTTATTTAAAAAAAATGGCAAAAAAAAAAAATAAATTCTATATTGAAAATTAGATGATTTTATGCTTATCAAATTTCAACTTCTTTAAAAAAAAAAAAAAAAAAAAAAAAAAACGAAAAATTTTTACAGGTAAATAATATGGATGATGATGATACGCCAAGAAAAATAGCTATTAGAAAATATAAAGCTGTTCAAGCAACAGAAAGACGTAATAAATTGCGTGAAAAGATAACATTAATCCAAGCTCTTATCAGTACGCATGATTGGAAACGTGGAATTATCACTTCGAATTGTATTAATGCTAAGGTAAGTAAGTATAGGAAATAAACAATAATTAATTAGTGAAAAGAATTAATAAAAAATTTTATCAGAAAAATAATTAATTAGTGAAAAGAATTAATAAAAAAAATTTTATCAAAAAAAATAATAATTCAATAAGTATAATTTACTTTTGAATATTTGAAAAGCTCTGTTTACTTAGTATGAAACAAAAAAAAAAAAAAAAATTAATTTTATTTAGGAAATTAGCACAAATTAAAATCAGATTAAAATTATATTAAAGATTTCATCAAATTTATAATATAGTAATACTTAAGCAAATTAAAGTTGAATTAAAATCGTTTAAAAAAATCTAAATTTAAACCTATAAGGGAGAATTTTTTTTTTGTTTTTATGATTTTTTTTTAAACAATCATCAAATTGCGTAATTTATATTATTATTCAAATTTAATAATTTAATGCTGCTGCAAGCTTCGAAAATTCGAAATGTGCGATTTCAACTAAATTAAAAAGATGCAAAAATTCAAACTTCTATTTATCATTTTAATTTTGAATAGTTTTAATTGTTACTAATATTTTATTCCATATTTTTTGTTTTTGTTTCTTTCATTCATTTATTTAACAAACAATAATTTGTAGTTTCATTAAAATTAATTTGCAATTGTGCTAAAATATTATTAAAACAATTAAAAAATATTCGAAATGATAGATAAAATTAGTGACAAAACTTATGCTTTTTAATAAATGAAATAAACCTGTTTTATAGATGGAAATAATTAAATTTGTAATTTTTATAATTTAATTAAAGATTGGACGAGATTGTGCTGATTGTGCACAGTTTCGAAGTGGTACACTGTCGTTGACAGTTTATGGAAATGCAAAATGTGAGGCAAAATCAATTTGGTCAGGTGGTTCAGTTACAGTAACAGTAGGACATGATTTAGTAATTGAAGGTAAACAAAGGAATTTCAATATTATCACTTAGAATTTAATGTTAAACTGACAGAATAAAAAAGTTATGAGTAAAGGTAAACAAATAAATTTCAATATTATTACTTTAAATTTAATGCTAACTTAATTGTATGATCTTTTTGTCCTTTTTTTTTTTCTGGCAACAGATCAAAATTTTTGAGAATAAAAAAAGATTCCAAAAGTTTCCAGTAATTTTTTATATTTTTCTCTTTTTTTTTAGGACAAGTAAAGCATGTTAATTTGGATGTGTCATGTGGTGGTAATATGGCCACAACTGAAGAAGCAATTATTAGCCAAGAGCAATGGGTTAAGGTTAATTCTTTTATATTCAAATTTTATTTTAATCATAAAAATTATTTTGAATGGTAAAATGAAATTTGTATTAATTAATATTGATTAATTCATTTATTTTATACATTTGATTGTATAAATTATTGTCATGTTTATATTTAATGATTAAAAAATGAAATAATTGATAAACTTTTTTTACATTTATTTTTTATCTAATATTAAAATGAAATAACTTAAGAACTTGAGAAATATGTATATATATATATATATATTTGAGAAATATTTCACGGATAAATACTTAATTTTTTATAATTTTCAATCAATCAAAATGAATAGTGTGAATTTTTTTTTTTACTTTCTAAAAAAATAAAATCTAAAATATGCATACTTTTTTGTTTATCTATCTTATTAATACTCATTAAAATGTATTCATTAAAATTTATAAATTTCTTTTAAAATTGTTAATATCAATAATTTATTATCGTTAACCGCTTTGTTCAGATAGTTTCTACCGCTTTTTGTGTTGCCGGAATTTGGTCAGTGGGTGAGCAATTTGGTTTAGATGTTAAATCGGCTACATTTTTGGAGGAATCATACATAGAAGCTGATTATTTTGAAGGAACAATTGATAAATGTTGTTACAATTCCGGTATTGATATTTTAGTGATATTATATCTTTGATTTAACTATTTTATCATATCCAATATAAGTCATTCATATACTTATTCTTATCTACAAATACTGATTTAACAAATATATTTCGGACGAAGATATTGTAAAAAATCTTACTTCTTTATCACTTAATCTAATTAAATTGCTACAAGAAATAAAAGTTTATAGTTTTAAATAATTTTGAATAATAAAATTGCAATTTTGAGTGTACATTTTTAGTTAATTTTGAATAAATTCCTAAAAATTAATTCTTTTTTCTAATAATACAAATAAAATAATTTGAAAAAAAATGGTTGAATAATTTTTATGTGTGATTTAAATTTAATCCTGCAAAAAATATTACATTTTAATTTATTTGTTTTTTTTTTTTTTTTTTAGGAACTTGGCAAACTCGTTTTATATCATTGGTAATTCATGGTGATTTGTTTACTTTGCATACTGGAAAGGTATTTGTTGAGGAAACAACAATTATTGAAGCATTATCATTCAATAATTGTGGCATCTGGAAAATTAAAGAAGCAATGAAAATTATACTTAAAAGATCAGCAAATTTTTATGCTTCATCAAAATTTAGCGCTAATTTATTAAAAGTAATAGCCGAAGGTCAATGTACCATTGCTGGACATTTATCATTGGAAAATTTATTAGCATATGTACGTAATGATATGATAACAGCACCTGGTTCACGAATTAATATCACAATCGGTGCAACTATTGCAGTAGGAACATTTCGAAATGATTCATCATGGTATTTTGATGGAAATTTACATTTGCATGTTGCATGTTTCGAGCAATCAGAAGATGCAATTATTTTTGTGAAAGATACATTTACAATGGCAATTTATGATCGATCAGAAGAATGTTGCAATGGACGAATTGTTGCTAATTATTTAATTATGAATTTAGCAAAACGATTTCGTTTTGATGGTTATATTCGAGTGAATCAAATTGAAATTTGCTTACCACATGTTAACGAATCAAGGCTAACAATTGGTGGTCAACTTGAAATACTCGATGGTCCATTAATTATGAAAGGACGAAGTTGTGATAATACTGAAATTTCCTCATTTTCATCATCACCATCATCATCATCATCATCGTCATCAATTATATCAACAATTGTAACACATTCATTTCCGGCATTTATTCTGGAAGGACAATTAAAAGCGGAAGCTGTTATCGCACCTTTTTTAGCAATTCTTTTCTCAACATCATCCTATTCACTGCTTTCTGGAATGGATTCAATAGCAAAAAATGCACCATATCGTACTCTAATATCATGTAATTCATTACATACACAACGTACTTCATTAATTGATTCCGTTCCTGAAGTTTTCTTTCCGGAAGCTATCTTATGTGCTACAACATGGCTACATGAAGGACAAATTCGATTTAATGGTGAAAAAGTATACATTATCACTGATAGTTTAATCAATCGTGGTCGACTAACCAGTGATAATAAATTACAAAACCATATGCGTGAAGTAACTGTAATGATTGAGAATTTCTTTCAAAATGATTCTGTCTTCTCGGCTGATCGTATTGAAATTTATGGAAATGGTATGTTACAAAATACAAATCGTATCTTTGCAAACGATGAAATGAATATACGATTGGCAAATTTTTGTAGCAAATTTGGACAAACACAATTAGAAAATACTCAATTAAAATTGCTAACAGCAAGTAATGAATGTATTCATTTTGGAACACATAGTCAAACTCGTGGAAATTCTGACAATAAAACATCAAAAGTTTGTGTGGCATTAAATCGATATGAATGTGATCGACAGATTCGAATAAATGCTCGATCTCGATTACTCATTGATAATGATATTATTGATGGTGATAGTAATGTCATATTGACAGCTCGAGATTCAATTTTGTTCAAATCTCGTATAATTGTGGATTTAATCGAAATAACACTTGGTGCAGCTTATATTACAGAATTTGTGATAAAAAAGAATGCATCAGTAACAACTAATCAATTACGAATTACTGGAAGTTGCAAATATCTTACAATAATTATTGATGGTGAATTAACATGTGAATCAATGATTATTGATGCAAAAATTCGACAAGTTAAAGTGCTTGGAAATGGTATATTGTCTTGTCGGAAATCAATGAACATAGGTGGTGATTCGATCACTTTAATGATACGTGATATTCGTATAACGGAACTATTAGGTTCACTGATAACGATTACTTCAAATGGTGCACTTAGCTTATCACCATTTGATACACATTCAAAAACAGTATCTATTTATGCTGATAATTGCTATTTGCAAGGACGAATATTCGTCGAACATAAAATTGTTTTAAAAATTAACGATGGATCATGTCATATCAGTGGTGAAATTTTGGGAATATGCGCAAATAGTGAATTATCATTGGAATGTGATAATTTAATCTTAACCGGAACAGTGGCAAATATAGATTTTCTAGAAAGTTATACACGCAAAAAAATTGAACATTATGAAACAGGAATGATTAAAAGTGTGAAAAATATTGTATTTGAAGCAGAGTTCATTTCGTTAGATGGTAAAATTATGGATTCGGAATCCGTAATTGCTACTGGTGAAGAAGTGAACATTGAAGGAATGCTTCAGAATCAGGATGGTACACATGCTGCTTATTCAATATTTAGCAAAAAAATTCTTTTTGATGGAGAGATATGTGGTCCGGCACGATTGGAATTAAGCGGATCAGAAATCACTTTTTCTGGAGTATCAAACAATTTGAAGTTTCTTGATATTGATGCAAATTTAGCTACCATTGCACCAATGAAACTGAAATGTGAAAATTTCAATTTTATCGCTTATTCTGCAATTTTAGATGGTAATTTAAATGCTGAAATATTCTGGGTAACTGTACAGGTAGCTTTATTTATTCGAACCGACTTAACCGGTTGTGCACAGTGCAAACTTGTTGCTCCATTAATTCTTGCTCTAAACTGTCCGATGTCATCAAAAATGGATATTTCCTCCATTATTTATGCTTTTGAACGGTTTGAATTATTAGAACCCAAAAATCTGGAATTATTTGATTCAAAACATCGATTTACATCGATATCTGATTGTTCCATCATCAATAACAATGCTAGAATCACAAATTCTGAACAATCTTCTGAAAGTAATACTAGCACTAGAAACCAAAATTTTATTGAAATTTCCTTTCATTCTAACATTTCTAATCATTATACCGTAAAGGAATATGATTTATTAAGGAAAACTACAAAAGTAATCAATGAATGCTTTAAAAATTCACATACAACTTATGATGAACTTCAAGAAATGTTAAAAAAAACAGATCAAATGCGATCAATTGGTATTTCTCTACCAACGACAAATTCTCTCTATTTGACACTTTTGAAACTTTTAAATGAAATACACATTGAGCATCAATTAATGCACAACTTTACTAAATTATTTAATCTGATGTGTAGTATTGCTGATATTAATGATGACAGTGAAACGAAAAATTCTGCAATTTTTATCGAAGAACGAGAAAGGTTCATTTTTTTTTTCCTGTCTTGAACATTTATCTGATTATATTTATTAGTAATTTTATTATTTGTAATTTTTTATTTTCTTTCATAATCGATTCATATATTTCTACGTTTTTAATCTAGAAAATGAATTAAATTTCCAATAATATTTGCATTTTATGAAATATTTTTGTCCTTTTGAAGCCTAATTTAAAAGAAAAAAGACAGAAAACAAAAAAACGAGAAATTACTTTTTATTAAATGAATTATAGATTCGAATCACAAGCGTTATACGACATTGCTAATCGTTTTCGCATTCGATCACGTAAATTTGGATTACAACGAAATGAAAATCATTCGGCTGATGATGACATCGGCTATGTGAGTCGTAGTTCCAGCGAAGAAATTGATGAAAAGCGTCGAAATATCGATGATTTACAGGATTTGCTGTACGATGATAATATTTTTAATGTTTTTATTATTTTGCTTTTTTTTTTAAAATTATATTTTCATAAATAATTTATTATTATTTTCTGTTTTTTTTTGGCAAAAACATTTGTCATTTTTTTTCTAAAAAATGGTATAAATACTTTACAGTTACTGTACAAATTTGGATAATGAATCGCTTACATCAATGTCAAAAGTGACAATTAGTGATGGAGATGATTGTATGGATAAAGATACAATAACAGATGACGAATTACGGTAAGTATTTGTTTCCGGAAAAAAATAATTTTCCGGAAAGTTTTGTGATACTATGTATTCATATTCTTATCAATCAACAATAATTCATTAATATCGCCAATAGTTTTATTACTTTTTTTCACGCTAACATATGATATCATACTTTTATAATAGTAGAAAAGTGATGAACAAAGTAAATTTTAAAATTATACCAACAGTACACTAAATTATACCAACAGTACACTAAATTATACCAACAGTACACTAAATTATACCAACAGTACACTAAATTATACCAACAGTACACTAAATTATACCAACAGTACACTAATTTATACCAACAGTACACTAAATTATACCAACAGTACACTAATTTATACCAACAGTACACTAAATTATACCAACAGTACACTAAATTATACCAACAGTACACTAAATTATACCAACAGTACACTAATTTATACCAACAGTACACTAAATTATACCAACAGTACACTAATTTATACCAACAGTACACTAAATTATACCAAAAGTACACTAAATTATACCAACAGTACACTAAATTATACCAACAGTACACTAAATTATACCAACAGTACACTAAATTATACCAACAGTACACTAAATTATACCAACAGTACACTAATTTATACCAACAGTACACTAAATTATACCAACAGTACACTAAATTATACCAACAGTACACTAAATTATACCAACAGTACACTAAATTATACCAACAGTACACTAAATTATACCAACAGTACACTAAATTATACCAACAGTACACTAAATTATACCAACAGTACACTAAATTATACCAACAGTACACTAAATTATACCAACAGTACACTAAATTATACCAACAGTACACTAAATTATACCAACAGTACACTAAATTATACCAACAGTACACTAAATTATACCAACAGTACACTAATTTATACCAACAGTACACTAAATTATACCAACAGTACACTAATTTATACCAACAGTACACTAAATTATACCAACAGTACACTAAATTATACCAACAGTACACTAAATTATACCAACAGTACACTAATTTATACCAACAGTACACTAAATTATACCAACAGTACACTAATTTATACCAACAGTACACTAAATTATACCAAAAGTACACTAAATTATACCAACAGTACACTAAATTATACCAACAGTACACTAAATTATACCAACAGTACACTAAATTATACCAACAGTACACTAAATTATACCAGCAGTACACTAAATTATACCAACAGTACACTAAATTATACCAACAGTACACTAAATTATACCAACAGTACACTAAATTATACCAACAGTACACTAAATTATACCAGCAGTACACTAAATTATACCAACAGTACACTAAATTATACCAACAGTACACTAAATTATACCAACAGTACACTAAATTATACCAACAGTACACTAAATTATACCAACAGTACACTAAATTATACCAACAGTACACTAAATTATACCAACAGTACACTAATTTATACCAACAGTACACTAAATTATACCAACAGTACACTAAATTATACCAACAGTACACTAAATTATACCAACAGTACACTAAATTATACCAACAGTACACTAAATTATACCAACAGTACACTAAATTATACCAACAGTACACTAAATTATACCAACAGTACACTAAATTATACCAACAGTACACTAAATTATACCAACAGTACACTAAATTATACCAACAGTACACTAAATTATACCAACAGTACACTAAATTATACCAACAGTACACTAATTTATACCAACAGTACACTAAATTATACCAACAGTACACTAAATTATACCAACAGTACACTAAATTATACCAACAGTACACTAAATTATACCAACAGTACACTAAATTATACCAACAGTACACTAAATTATACCAACAGTACACTAAATTATACCAACAGTACACTAAATTATACCAACAGTACACTAAATTATACCAACAGTACACTAAATTATACCAACAGTACACTAAATTATACCAACAGTACACTAAATTATACCAACAGTACACTAAATTATACCAACAGTACACTAAATTATACCAACAGTACACTAAATTATACCAACAGTACACTAAATTATACCAACAGTACACTAAATTATACCAACAGTACACTAAATTATACCAACAGTACACTAAATTATACCAACAGTACACTAAATTATACCAACAGTACACTAAATTATACCAACAGTACACTAAATTATACCAACAGTACACTAAATTATACCAACAGTACACTAAATTATACCAACAGTACACTAAATTATACCAACAGTACACTAATTTATACCAACAGTACACTAAATTATACCAACAGTACACTAAATTATACCAACAGTACACTAAATTATACCAACAGTACACTAAATTATACCAACAGTACACTAAATTATACCAACAGTACACTAATTTATACCAACAGTACACTAAATTATACCAACAGTACACTAAATTATACCAACAGTACACTAAATTATACCAACAGTACACTAAATTATACCAACAGTACACTAAATTATACCAACAGTACACTAAATTATACCAACAGTACACTAAATTATACCAACAGTACACTAAATTATACCAACAGTACACTAATTTATACCAACAGTACACTAAATTATACCAACAGTACACTAAATTATACCAACAGTACACTAAATTATACCAACAGTACACTAAATTATACCAACAGTACACTAAATTATACCAACAGTACACTAAATTATACCAACAGTACACTAAATTATACCAACAGTACACTAAATTATACCAACAGTACACTAAATTATACCAACAGTACACTAAATTATACCAACAGTACACTAAATTATACCAACAGTACACTAATTTATACCAACAGTACACTAAATTATACCAACAGTACACTAAATTATACCAACAGTACACTAAATTATACCAACAGTACACTAAATTATACCAACAGTACACTAAATTATACCAACAGTACACTAAATTATACCAGCAGTACACTAAATTATACCAACAGTACACTAAATTATACCAACAGTACACTAAATTATACCAACAGTACACTAAATTATACCAACAGTACACTAAATTATACCAACAGTACACTAAATTATACCAACAGTACACTAAATTATACCAACAGTACACTAAATTATACCAACAGTACACTAATTTATACCAACAGTACACTAAATTATACCAACAGTACACTAAATTATACCAACAGTACACTAAATTATACCAACAGTACACTAAATTATACCAACAGTACACTAAATTATACCAACAGTACACTAAATTATACCAACAGTACACTAAATTATACCAACAGTACACTAAATTATACCAACAGTACACTAAATTATACCAACAGTACACTAAATATTTGAATATCCAATAACTTTCTTAATAAATGCAATCGAAAGCAAATAAAATTGGAATTGAATAAGACTTATGAATATTATAATTCTTTGAAATTACTAATATTAGTATTATTTTTATATTTAGCAATAATGAAACGTTGAATGATGAAATACGTAGAAGTGAAAAAGACAAAAGTAACTCTAATACAACGTATGTTTTGAACGGTGAACAACGAGTACAAATCGGTTACATTGATTTCAATCGATTAGATGTTGTGATCACAAAACCGGAATTCTTGACTCGCCGAAAAATTCCCTCCGGTATCGATTTGGCCTTCAAGAAAATACAGGTATTATTCCTTTTCTCTTTTTTTCCTTGTTTTGTTCTTTTTAAAACATTGCTATACACTTATTTTAAAAATTATGAAAACATATGTTTTTAAAATAATTTCTGTAGACTGTTTATAGAAATTTTGTTTTTATATTATAAAAAAAAGTATGAAATTATATTCGATTATTTGTGCAATATATTAGATTCTAACGAGAAAATTCTTTTGTTTCATACATTTGCATCGAGAAATTCCTGCTAACTAATAAATAATAATTAAATGCGCAGAACTACGTTAAAATTAAAATAAAATTTTTTTTTAAGCAAGACAAGCACAAAAATAAACAAAATTTCTATCAAACATTATGAACTTGAAATTGAGTTAAAGATTTTTAAATTACTTTCGTTGCTAAATTTCCAGTCATATAACAAAAAAAAGGGCAAATTAAACTTGTAAAATTGATTGAAATATAGGAGAAAAGATTATAATTTTTTCTTTCGTGTAAAAAAATAATAATAAATGAATTTAACGAATTATTGGAAATCATAATTTTATCTAAATATTTTCGTAACTTTTTTTTTTTGAAATCATTTGCAAATTTTCAGGAATTTTTGAAATATTTGATTTTTTTTTTAGTGACATTAACATTTTTAGAATTCTTTTTTTTTTTGTATAAAATTTTAAAATTTTAGTTAAAAGCAACTTTGCCAACGTTAGAATTACATTCATTCGGTAGCGAATCATCATTGGCGTCATTTGACGAAAAAGCGCTAATGTATTCCATTCCTACGCCAGTGAAACGATCACTTATACCACGTGCTGCTATTTCAACGTACGGTAATGGTACCATAAGAAGATCACGTACATTTATTAATTATAATACATGATTATAATATTTTAATATTTTAATTATGGTTGCATAATTGTGATAATCTGAGTTTTTCTGTTTATTTAAATAATATGCATATTTTGTGATACATTGTAAGAAGAAATAAAATGTAAATACTGAAAGTAATTAACTTTTTCTTCACTTATATGATACGTAATAATGATTACTTATAATTACTTAATAATGAATTACTTAAGTGATACGTAAGTATATCAAAGCAAATTATTGTATTAAAAGTAATGTTTGATAAATATCTATTTCGGTGCTAATATCACGCGCATTATGCTTAATATATTTATAAATATATCATTCCTTAACATATCATTCAATAATTTTCTCTTTCTCTTTTTGTTCTTCTCTCTCTCTCTCTCTCTCTCTCTCAGTATAATTTGATAGAAATTTGTATGATACAAATATTTCTTTGTTATCCGTTTTGTTTCATAAAAGATTACACTTTGTAAGATAAATGTAAACAATCCGAACAATTCTTTTACTTATTGATAATTTTATTTTACGATTTAATTCCTCCCTCTCTCTCCTTTTTTTTGCTTTGAATTTTTAAAGCTTAAAAAAATTAGACAATTAATTCGATTAAAAATGTTCCATTTAAAATAACTGAATCATTTTAAACTAATAAAAAAGTATTTAACATAGAATTGTCAGTTTAAGAAAAAAAAATTTTTTTTTAAATTATATTTGCAGAAATATTTATAATTCCATTTTTGATTTAACTGTTTTTTTTTTCGCTTAAATCGCTATATAAATTTTTTCAAAAGACGATAAAAAATAAAAAAGTAGACAATTTCTATTCTTTAATTCTTCAGTCCCTTTTTTTTAAACTTTCAAATTGTTCAAAAAAAAATTTTGTTTTTTATTACTGTAATTAATTTTCTCCCTCAAAAAAATAATAGCTATGTAAAATTTACTTATATACAAGTAAATGATGTAATTATTATTTGAGTATATAAAGCAGAAGAATTGACTGAAATCTTTTCATTTGAATTTCTCTAGGAAAAAAAGAAAAAAACAAAGCTAATTATAAATGATTCGTAATGATGTTAGCTAATTAGGCTAGAAGAGAGTTGGGAAAGGTATCAATTAATGTTTTTCCATTAGTTATTAAATAGAAATTTGAGTAATATTTATTGATTTATTTTCTTAATGTAAAAGTTTTCTCTTTTTTTTTGAATTTAAGCATTGAAAATATTTCAGTGTTATTTGTGACGAATATTTTGTCCTTTATATTTAACCGTTTTTGTTATCTTATAATAATAATTAATCAATCGATTTATTACTCTAAATTATTAACAATAAGAAAACTCTAATCGTATTAACAATAATAGCAATAATAATCAGTCAATCAGTTAATCAATCAATCAATCAATCAATTTATTACTCCAAATTATTAATTAGTACAAAAAAAAAAAAAATTATATGCAATAATCGAATGTTTATCATTTTAAAAATTTTGCTAATTGAAAATATCTATTTCATTCTTATTTCTACTTCGTTTTTTTTTTTTTTTTTGTTATGAATAAAATTTTATGCAATTTTAAAAGTTAAAAACATTTCATATAATATTTGCTAAGGAATCGTCAAATTTTTTAATTTCTCTTTTTTTTTCATTTGTTTAATTATTCATTAATAATGTGAAGAAAAAAAAAAAGAAAAGCGATACATTAATGATTAATTAATATGGCTTTTTTATTTTTTCTTTCATTTCATTTATTTTTTCCATTTCATAATTATTTTTTCTTTTCTTTTTTTATTTTTATTTTCTTTCAAAACACATTGCTTAAATAATATTAAAAAAATTTTTCATAATTATATTTGTTATCATTTATCATTTATCATTCATTATTAGCTTTCACCGTGTTATCACTTAACAAAAAAAAAACAAAAATTTGCTATGTGATTAAGCGGGTTTTTTGTTATTATCATTGTAAATTAATAATTCTTTATTGCGCATAAAATAACATTGTACAAAATATTGTACATTTAATTTAATTAATTACATTTCAAATTATTCATTTAAATTTAATCCTAAATTATTGAAATTGATAAAATTATTAATCAACGGAAAAATATATTTTATATATCATATAGTTTGCTGTTATTATTGTTATCATTATTACAAATAATTAAGTTCCATTCAAATTTTTTGATTTAATTTTTATCCAATCAATTGCTTATTCATCGCACTGTTTAATAAATACATTTTTTTCTCTCTCTCTCTCTCTCTCTCTCTCTCTTGGAATAAAAATTTAATAATACTAAAATTTTTATTATAATTTATATTGAAAAATAGACACAAACAACAGTTTACATATATTTTAAAAATTAAATTTTGATAAATTTGCTATTAGCAAAAGTAATTTGTCCGATACAATTCTCAATTTATAGCAATTCTTTGTTAAGATTTGAATTATAAAATAATTATTGTCTATTTAAAACAATTTTCAATGTTTTCCGCACATTTTCCTCCGTTCTTTCTTTCCTATTTTAACTTTTTTTATGCAAAATAAAAGACAAAGTTGTAAAAAAAAAATATAAATTTACATCTTTGGCAGTATTTATTGTCAATTAAATTGTAAATTGTTGTATTGTTTTTTTATATTTATAATTTTTTTTTTTTTTTTTTAAATAAAATAAGAAAAAAGTAGATGAAATCATAGTTTATTAGATGAAATCATAGTTTATTTTTTAAACATAAAAATATTTAGTAATAATAAAAATAGTATATTGTTAATGTAATTCAAATTTTTGATTAATATGTTCAAGAAGAAAAAAAAAAAATTGTTTCATTGCTTATTAATAAATAAAAATTTTGATATAAATTTTAGGTTTTTTTTTTTTAAAAAAAAAAAGAGAAAATTTAAAATAAAATATTAATGTATATCAATAATTATCAAAGAAAGAATTCTTCATTTCTCAATAATTTCGTTTTTTTTCAATTTTCAATTTTTTTTTTTTATCTTTTATCTTTTAACAACAAATAAGCATTAAAATAAGCTATGACGTGATTGAATAAAAAAGGAAATAAATAAATAAACAATAAAAGAGGAAAGAAAATTTCAAAGCTTTAGCTTATCATTCTATTTTATCCAATTCTAATAATAGATAATGTATTTATTGATTTCAGTTATCCATTTATCAATTTCCATAATGTTATCATTTCCGTTGGTAGTGCGGAATAATTCATTCTATTTCTGAGCTTTAAGCAAAAAAAAAAAAAAAAAAAAAATGAAAATAAAAAAAGGAGGAAAATCTATAAAAGCTTATTGACAATAAGACATTTTCATTTTTTGCTTTTTAGTGACTTTGGAATTAACTTTAGTACTAAATATAAGTATAAATATAAATTTATATTTGCATGCTATTTTTTTAAATTAATATCTCTGTTTTTCTCTTTTTAATTCTTACTAATGAATTAATATTAATTATTTTTTTTAATTACTTTAGAAATTATTTTAGTACCAAATACAAATGTAAATTTATATAATATGTTATTTGATATTTCATTTTTTAATTTTTACTAACGAATTATTATTAACAATTTCTTTGAATTAGTTCAGAAATTATTTTAGTACTAAATATAAATGTAAATTTATATAACATATTATTTGATATTTCTTCTTTTAATTTTTACTAATGAATTATTATTAATTATTTTTTTAATTACTTTAGAAATTATTTCAGTATGGATATAAATATAAATTTATATAATATGTTATTTAATATTTCTGTTTTTTTATTTTTACCAATGGATTATTGCGAATTATTTTTTTTTTCAGTTATTTATTTTACATTAAGAAATATTATAAAATCAAAAAAAAGAAATCAAATTCAAGCAAATGCTAATTTTTATTTTTTCTCATTCAAAACTTAAAAAATCTTGAAATAAGGTTGCAAAGATAAAATTTACTGGTATTAGAAATTTATTTTAAACTTATTTGACATTTTCATTTTTAAATAATGACATCAAACATGATCTGTTCACATCCCTTTTTTTTTATTCGATATAAAAATTAATTAAAATATGATTTTTTCATTTGAACTTGGAGCAAAAATTTATAAAATACTACAAATATATTTTAACATTACTGAAATTAAGAGAAGAAATTGATAATAATGATAATTGATTAAGAGTAAAATAATTATTTGAAAAACAAACGTGAAATTTTTCAACAAAAAGGTTTTTTCTTTTTCTTTTTTTCATTCAATTTAAAATTTGGAATAAAATTGGGAACACAAAAATTTTAAATTGAGGAATATTTCTTTGATATTAAATTAATTTTGTTGTGAGATTTTGCATTCTCTGTGATTTCAATCAAATTATTTGATCAGATTAGATTCGATAACCTTTGACATCACTCTAAATTAAGTACCGAAAAAAATGCATTTTTAAATTTTTAATTAAAGTTGCATTTGCACTTAAAAAAAGACCGCCATGACTAATTACCTATTTGCTTGTTTGGTTAATTATAGCATTTTTAAATCTTAACAAAATTATTTGATCTAATAATTGGTGTCGAATAATTAATTTATCGATTGATTAATGCCCCAAAAATTGATCAAAAGTTTAATCTTAATCTAATAAATCTTAAACTTTTATTTTAAACTTAATAAATATTTAATTATATTAATAGAAATGTGTGCCAATTAATATAATTTAATGAATTTTAGTTAATAATGATATAAAATGAAACTTCAGCCATTATCAAAATTTAAAATTTGAGAATTGAAATAATTGAAGTAATTCAGGAATTGAAATAAAAAAGAGTTTCTTCTTTTTTTGAATTCATTTCCACATGAATTTGTCATTGCATTGTTTTTGTTATTGATATTTAGTAAAGCAAAAACAAAAAAAAAAAATGAAAAAAAAGAAATTTAAATTTTGATTATGATAAATAGAATTTGTAAATATTATAATTTACTAATAACGCTCGAAAATTATATTAACTATCTTTTTAAATTCACAAAAAATTAATTATAAAT